TTATTTATGCATGTTTCTCTAATGTATTGTGAGTAACAGACAGTTTCCATAAGGGTTACAGGCTCAATTCCTGTTGGAGAGTGCATATTTTTTACATACTTTCTCGAACATTCAAGCCAGTAAATGTAATTAATACTGTTTAATTAAAAACAGAGTATTTACTTAAATAAATTATATTTTATAAAAATAATGTATAAACAGAAAATATATTAAGTAATTGTCAGACTTAATCCATTTCATAATATCTTGACATTGTTTACGTTAAGATATCTTTTGTGAGCAGAAATGATCGATTGAGAAAAATTGTCTAAGGTGTGTGTTTATAAACAGTAATTGAGATTTTGCTAACCAGGCGCTTATCTGTGGCAGAATGGTAATGGCATGTCAGGCTATACGATGGTTCCATTAGGTTTCCAAGTGTGATTCCTGTTTAAGAGTGCATATTTTCTTCAAACTTTCTCAAACATTCAGGCTGGTAAATGTAATTAATACTGTTTAATTAAAAATAGAGCATTTAAATAAATTATATCTAAAAATAAAGTATAAACTGAATATATATATATATATATATATATTAACGAAAATCTTGGTAATCTCTATGAATAATCCCAAGGAGGATGAAATCCTGAGAGCTCAATGTTAATTCAGACATATAATTTAATTTAAAGAAAAACAGACCACTTTAAGGCTCTATTGCAATAATTAATAAAAAGAAATATAAAAATAAATTTTAAAACTTTCCCTTCCCTCTCTAAACTCGACCATGTCTCTCATACCATCCCTCACCACCTTCTATGTCAACTTATATAAGCTTAATACTGCCCGTCAAAAGTGTAAATTTTAAATTCATTTTTCGTTTCACCTTTTGAAAGTGAAGTCTGAAGATGCAGAGAAAAATAAAATTCTCTGGTGAAATAAATTATTACAATGTAGCCTTAAAAAAGTGGTTTGTTTTTTTTTAAAATTATTATATATATATATATATATATATATATATATATATATATATATATATATATATTTGCTACTCATTTTGAAGAACACTGTCTATGATGGTTAGCCTGTTTCTGTTTCAGAGACCTGCTCAGGTACATTTTATGTTTGCTCAACACCCACAGAGACTCATTTTTTTGTTTATATTGAGCAGACTGAGAGAATGCAAAATCTGGCAATGATCTGCAGTTTGAACAATAAGAGTACACTGAAAACTTTGGTGAAAATGCCTTGTTTCTTTGTGTTAGTACAACCATCAATGATTTCTGATTAGTTCTGTCTACCTGAAAAAGGCTTTGAGTCAACTCATGGTTTTCAGGCATTTTCCAATACTTCACCTACCCAGGCTGATAATATGAAGAAGCCACCTAACCCAGACCAATCAACTGCTGGAAACACGCAAGAAAAATTGAAAAAAACAACCAGAAAAATAACTCGCAAAACATATTATATATACATTAGCAAAAAAAAAAAATGTTTTGTTTTGTGGATTGCAATTGTAGTATAACTAAAATGTTTTTGTTTTAATTTTTTTTTTCCCTCCAGACAGTGAAACGTAATCAGCAACAATATGATTTGCCTTTGAAGATTGTCTCGTATGAGGTAAGTGTCATCCTGGTTAGACTTCTTTTGGATTTTCTTGTTAGACATTAAATCACCTTTCCGAATATGTGTGTGGTCTGATGAAAAAGTATGGGAACTGTTGCTATACAAAGAAAACTGCAAGACGTATCATTTTGGTATTTAATCTCCTCCACAGTAGTCCTCTTTTGAAGGCACTCACTTTCTCCAGTGTCGTTTCCATTGATGGAAGAATTGCTGGAATGGATAGCAAGCAGTAGCCATGTTGCATTCTCTTGGATTACCTTGGTGTCTTCAAATCATTTTTCCTTTCAAGTGCAATTTGATTTTTGAAGAGGAAAAAGTTGCAAGGGACAAGATCTGGGGAATATGATGATTATAGACATGGGTAATGTAGTGCTAAAAATTACTGCACAAGCCATGGTTGCTGATGGAGACTGTGATATGGTGAGATGACCACACTCTACACACTGCTATAAACAGCAGAAGTGAGTGAGAAAGTTATAACTTAGTGTGTATGTAAGACAGAGTACAAGGTTAATCAGTGTTCCAAGTGGCTTCATTCTGCATACCTTAGCTCCGTTATACATATCAACAGTCCCCTACATTTTGACCAGACCTTTTTGTGTGTGTGTGTGTATATATATATATATATATATATATATATATATATATATATATATATATATATATATATATATATATATCTTGATGCATGTTTCATTAAATAAGATAGACGAGTTTTGTCTATTTTATGCAAATTCCTTTCATATTGTCTGATAAGCTTAATAACATTATCATTGTAAGATGCAAGAAAATCACTATATTGATACAGGTTTTTTTAATCCTATTTAAGCTTTCAGCTTACATAAGCCATTATCAAAGATGACAAATACATTACAATATATTAAACAATGCATGGACAAAATAATGATAGTCTGGTTTTTGTTTGCATGGAAGATTTCTAAGCAATGACAAACTCGTGCATATGAGACGCTGGAAGTGAAAATCACACTGCAGCTCATGACGTTACACATGTTCACGCGAGAGTGAAAATGAGAATTGTTAAGTATGGGAAGCCATTTGTATATGGCTTCTGTTATCAATTATAGGCATTTGAGTATATTTGTGGAGTTTTCATTTTTTTTTATTTTGTTCAGGTTAGGTTTCAACTGTTTTATGTATATAGCTTCAAGAATTTTTAGTTTTTGTTTATTGTTTTCATGTTTAAGTATAGTTGTGTTTTCCACAAGGATTTTCCGGAATTGTGTATGTAGCCAGGCATGTTGGTTTAAATGCCTAAAAATGTTAGAGTTATCATTCAAATGTAGAGTCAAGCGTTGTGAAAGTAAGTTTGTGGTGTGACCAACATAAATATTATTTAATCTGTTGGAGATATAATCTCCCAAAGGGCACTTGAATTTGTAGACTATGTTGGTTTTTTGCAAATTGCTAACAGTGGGAAAAGAATCATTGCAAATAATTGAGTTGGATATACTAGATTTAGTGTAGTATATGATTAATAATTTTTTTTTCTAGGATATATATATATACTGAACATAAATATAATTTATGTGTCTGTTTTTCATGCTATATGCAATCGTCATATGGCGATTAACTTTAATTTTTTCTCTGATATTGAGCACTTTATCCCATAAATATAGCACATAAGACTATATTTCTTTATATATATATATATATATATATATATATATATATATATATATATATATATATAGGATATGTATAAATATATAGAAAATAGGAAGGAACTGGTTAGGTAAATAATCCAAAGTCCCTTCGTATTTTAGTTATTATTTTTAAAAAATAGTGCTTTCGATACAAAAGTAGAGCATAAATATAATTATTTATTTAAAATATGATTCCAAATCGCTACATAAGAGGTCTCATGTTTCAAAACAAAGAAAACTTCAATATAATCCTTTAAATTAAATTGAGTTGAAAGTAAAAAAATGGGCTCCGTTCCATCTTCAATTTAATTTTTGTTGGAATAACGTATATCTGAAATTTACTTGTTTTAAAATTGAAATCAAAATCCCCATGGTAACAGATATTCTAGAATATGTAAAGCTTGGGATGACCCATGCCCTTTGTGCCTCCATGAAAAATTGCACATTATTAACCTTCTAAATAATAATAATCTATTAAATAATAGACATGAGTTAACGGTTTTTTGTAGGCATCATCAGATTTTTGGTTTGAATTATTAGATAAAAAATTTATATAACTTGTTTAACAAATAGCCCAATCATCAGATTCATAGTAGGAATAATTAACTACAAACATGCATACAACATAACACACTTCATAATCCATAGCCTAAATTAGTAGTATAAATACCTTACATATAAGATAACCCTTTATGAAGTCGTCAAAAAACAAACGTTACGAAAGTTTTTTCTTTTTATATGCACAATTCCTTTCATAATAAAAATAAAATAAATAAATAAATAAATCTGCATAGACAAGCAAACTAGACGATGGCCAATACATCTTCCGTTTCATTTTTGACACCCCACCTTTCCCCGACTTGACACCTTGAAAGTATCTCTATACCGCTACTTATTATTCGCCACCCAATTTAGACAATTCACCATAGCTGTTACCATGGGATTTTGATTTCAATTTTAAAACAAGTAAATTTCAGATATACGTTATTCCAACAAAAATTTAAACGAAGATGGAACGAGCCCATTTTACTTTCAACTCAATTTAATTTAAAGGATTATATTGAAGTTTTCGCTCTTGTTTTGAAACATGAGATGCGATTTGGAATCATATTTTTAAATAAATAATTTATATATATATATATATATATATATATATATATATATATATATATATATATATATATATAATAAATTGAATTCATTGTGAAACAAAATCATATGTTCAAAACTTACCTATTGTAAATGTTTACAACCATTTGTTCCAACCTAATGTAAAGTTTGAAGTTTATAAATTTTCAGTTATGTAACCAATATTGTAATAGTAATATTGTTTGTTTCTTATAAGGAAACATTCAGCATTCTTGATCTGAGCAACCAGTGCTACTTTCAGCTGAAACTTATAAAATATTCCAAAAGGTATGCAAGTAATATTTCCAATGAAAAGTGATGCACTAAACAAAAGTAAAACCAACTGATAACTGTTATGATATTGTCAAGGGAATTTGTTTTTGATTGATACTAAGTAAACAAATTTAAACAATTTAATTGAAAAATATAACTAATATATTCTTTCTGTAATCAAACATAAATCATTTGTCAAATGAATTAGATATTGATAGCAATTAGTACATAGATATTTTTTTTTAAATTTTGTATTTTTGTTGTTTTAAAACTATGCCAAACACTTTAATCAACAAGTGGAGAAATTCTTTTCACCGTTCAAATAATATTACAATGTCTTTAGACAAAAGAAATTTTCCTGTATAGGTTGGTACAGACTGTAGGAAGGCCAATATTTTTTGTAATTTTAAATAATAAACATCACATTAATCATTTGATGTTATTTTTTCAAGTAATTTTACCAATTCCTTTCCTTCCTTTATATATGGATTGGTACACAGTTGGCAGGCGAATCCTTTATGTAATTCTAAATAATAAACATCACATTAATCATTTGATGTTATTCTTTCAAATACCTTTTACTATTTCTGCCTTTCCCTTAGTCTCTCCTTCCTTTCTTTCCCTTAGTCTCTCCTTCCTTTCTTTCCCTTAGTCTCTCCTTCCTTTCTTTCCCTTAGTCTCTCCGTCCTTTCTTTCCCTTAGTCTCTCCGTCCTTTCTTTCCCTTAGTCTCTCCGTCCTTTCTTTCCCTTAGTCTCTGTCCTTTCTTTCCCTTAGTCTCTCGTCCTTTCTTTCCCTTACTTAGTCTCTCCGTCCTTCCCCTCCTTTCACTCAGTCTCTGGAGTCTCTCCGTCCTTCCCTCCTTTCCTCCAGTCTCTCGTCCTTCCCTCCTTTCACTCAGTCTCTCCGTCCTTCCCTCCTTTCACTCAGTCTCTCCGTCCTTCCCTCCTTTCACTCAGTCTCTCCGTCCTTCCCTCCTTTCACTCAGTCTCTCCGTCCTTCCCTCCTTTCACTCAGTCTCTCCGTCCTTCCTCCTTTCCTCAGTCTCTCCGTCCTTCCCTCCTTTCCTCAGTCTCTCCGTCCTTCCCTCCTTTCCTCAGTCTCTCGTCCTTCCCTCCTTTCACTCAGTCTCTCCGTCCTTCCTCCTTTCACTCAGTCTCTCGTCCTTCCCTCCTTTCCTCAGTCTCTCCGTCCTTCCCTCCTTTCACTCAGTCTCTCCGTCCTTCCCTCCTTTCTCAGTCTCAGTCTCTCGTCCTTCCCTCCTTTCCTCAGTCTCTCCGTCCTTCCTCCTTTCACTCAGTCTCTCGTCCTTCCTCCTTTCACTCAGTCTCTCCGTCCTTCCCTCCTTTCACTCAGTCTCTCCGTCCTTCTTTCATTGGGTGGTTGCATGTGTGGGTGACTTGAAATAGACATCAATGTTGCCTTACCAGAAACTGTCTTGAGTTGTTTTTTTATTTGGAGTTTACTAACCATTGCTTTAAATACTGTTTTTGTCTTAAATTTATTGACTTAATTGAAAAAGAAAAGAAAACCAAAAAACTACTTTTCTTCTGTTAATTTAAAAACTTTGTTCTGTCATAATTTTCAATAAAAAATATAATTCCTTAATTGAACTGGGATTAAATGTAAATACTGTTTTTGTTTTAAATTTATTAAATTGAATAAAAAGTTGTTCTGTGGTTCAGTATAATTAAAATTGGGACAATAGTAAAAATAAAAAAATAATAATTTGTCTGTAACCTTGCAGTTTAGCACAAAAATTTATTAAGAAACTTTAGTTGGGACCCATTGAATTTCCCAGGATGCACACAAATCACCACTTGTGGGTCCCAGTGACTCACTACATTAAAACTGGAATCTTTCTATTAAAGGAATTTTTTTCATGAAAAGACGTTTATCAAGTTCAGTAACTGGGGAAGGCAGGGGTGTCCTTTCTAACCTTTTGTTTGAAATTGTGTGGAACGGCAACATTTTGATTATGTCATTATTTTTTCTTTGAGTTCCATGTTACAAAATATATCTGTACTGAATGGTAAGCTTTTTGTCATTTTGTCTGTTTTCAGGAACTCTATGGCTGGACCATGGATGCCATTGTGAAAGAAGTAGGAAGAAAGAATAATTGTAAGAAAAAAAATTTTTTATTTGACATTTTGTAGAGAATTATTCATTGTTTGGGTCAAATTATGAAGGGGCCATGAATTTATTTGATGAAATTGAATCTAGGAGAGTATCATAAAATAGCTAATGGTTAAATTATTCTATTATAGAAAGAGTAAAATATTACATAACAGTTCAGCACTCATTTCTTTGTTCCTAATGGCATTTTCATATAGAATTATGGCCACAATTATGTTGAAACACTGGTTCATATATAATCACCAAAGTCAAGTCCAGTCAGTACTTAGATTATTGACTGCTTGGAAATGCCAGTTGCAGTAAACATGGATATGCAGGTGGGGTGTAATGGATACTGGCTCGGAATTGTTAGTTGGAGAGCAGTGTTCTAGTTCCAGTTAGGTTCGTTATATTCCTTTAGGTGCGAATACTCTTGGGAAAAGGTAATCAGTCCACTTCTACTATCCACAGCTATCGGTAAGACTTGTATTACAAAAACCATTATTATCTCATAAAAAATAAAATTGCATACAAAATATTTACAAATTAAGTAGTGATCTCTCTTGCAGATGACCATCACATCTTGGTTGATCTCTCTTGCAGATGACTTCCTAAATCATAACTAAAATACCATCTTGGAATAATAGTGTAATTTAGTGTCAGTGTCTTAGAAGAATAGCCTAAAAGATTAAAGTGTTGGTTCATCAATCTGGTGACATAGTAATTGTGATTTCAATCCCTGGGCTGGTCAGTGTGTACTTGGACTCGGTGGAAATATGGCATGCAATAACTGCGGAGTATTAAATCTGTAGACAGTGGCAGTGGAACAAGAACAATCTACTCCCATAGATTATATAAAGGGTTCAGTTCGGAATTCCCTATCAGTTACCTGGATTGACAAAACACCTGATGAAGGCCAAAGGGCAAAATGGTTGAAATGTTGTGATAATAGTTTACTAGTTTTTTTGTTTTGTTTATCAGCATGTCACCTTGTCAAGTGTGCAGAGGGGCCAGATATACAAATATGAAAGCTGACTACAGTATTGCTATTAAGCATCTGTTGTGCAAAGTAAATGTGAGATAAGGCTGGGAATCCACAGTGTACCAGGAAAGTGATTACACATCCATTTAATGCAGTCTCTCCAACAATACTTAGTGCATATAAACTTGATCATCTCATGGTCAACAGAAATGTGGGTCATTGTAATTGTTCTGCCTTCTAACTATGTATCTGCCTCGCATGTGTACATACTTCAACATAGTCAGATAAACACTTTAATGCAATTAAGACTATGAAGACAAAATTTTGTTCATCAGCAGGTTTATTAAAAGACAAAAGGATAAGACGATGATATTATCACTTGTGTCCATGATGTTACTGAGAGGGTTCCAGTGATAAGTAAGGGGGTGAACAGGAAGTGGTCAAAAACAGTGACTAATCTAAAAAGTATCTAAACTGAGTAAAGAGGCAAACAAAGGGGAAGTAAAACAATACAGGTTTGTATTGTCGTAACAGAGCAGTAACTCATGTATGGTTTGAATTTAAATACCCCCCCCAGCCTATTGATGGAAAAGTACTTATTTTACTCAAAAAATATTTATTTTTCAACATAATCTCCTCCTTTGTTAATGCATTTAAATCAGTGGTGAATATTAATCAAATTGATCAAGCATTATACAGTGAAAATTTTAGATCAGAAAACAAGATTTAATTACTTTCTTGAATTAGTCTGCTATTGGACAATAGTAAGGCACTTGGAGGTTACTAAAGTTGGTTTAGTTTGTCACAAGGCCAGTAAGGGACAGATATATCATGGCCTAATGATAATTGATTCTTCTTTTTTTCTCTAAATGCCGACTAAGATGTGTTCAACCTCAAATTATTTATGAATTTTTTACCCACATTCTTCTTTGCTTGGCAAGTTGCAGTGAGAACTCGTTGATGCCAAAATTTTTTTTTCTTCTTCTTCCCAGGCACATTTTGTGGTGTCTTTCGGCGTCAAGCCTTGGACCGAGGTGCAGCTATGTTGAAAGTTGACAAAATTGTGACAGGTAACTTCTCTTCTTCCCCACCCCCCCCCACCCCATAAACCAGTTGACTGAGTATGAATGGTACTACAAATAAAAACTTCTGTCTAGATTTTTGAGATGAGTTATTGTAACTATTTAGATTATTTACATCATTCAGACTGTTATCCTCATCTTTATTGTCATATGACATTTTGGCTGTTGTACCACATGCCATACCATTTCTAGATATCTTGGAAGATTTTTTTTTTTTTTTTGGTCACCTCTGCTGTGGCCAGGTATTGAACTCACAACTCTTTGGGTCAAATCATTTTTGGTTTACTTAAACCAACACTTTTATCCACTGGGCCATGTAGAACAAGAACAATGTACCTCTGTGGAACAAATAAAGGGTGTGGTTTGATATCACCTGAAGAAGGTCAGAGCATACAATGGTTGAAACCTCATGAATATGACAATAAAGATGAGGACAACAGTCCAAACAGTGTAAACAAATAAAATCTTGTAAGAAATCATTCCTGTAATTTTTAACATTAATCACAAATATCTTCTCTGCAACCCTAAGGTGAAATGTGACCCAGAGCCTGGTCTAATGGAATCTGTAGACCAAATTCTTGATAAGGCACCTGATTCTGTCACATTTTTGCTTGATTACAGAGTTGTCAAAATTGGTTACAATTAGTGTTTTGGGCAACATTTAAAAATCCAGGCCTACTAAATTGACTTTCTTCTCAGGAGTCATTCTTATGATATCCAATTACCAACATGTTGAAAGTAGTGAAATTCAAAATTTAGTTGTTGTACATTTTCAAACCGTCCACTCGAGCCCTAGTTAGTTATGCAAAAATAGTCAAGGTCAGCCAACCATTGCTACCTCTTAGTGAATAGGATGAGTGTTTGGAATTGGAATATCACATCACTAAACCTCTCATTGATATATTTTCGCATGCACACACACACACATTTTTTTTTTTTATTTACAATATGACAGCTTTTAGAAGGGCATTTTGGGATTATTACTTATCACGTCTCTCCACAACTTCCTGTCCTTTGTAGCTCTTAGTAAATTTTCTCTTTTTACTATATTTCCCAAACCCTGTTTTGCTATCCATTTACACAAGCTCCTTAGTTATTTTATGTGCTGTTTTCATCTGTCCCTCTTACCTTCAATCTGTCCTGTGAGTATCAAATTTTTCCCAGCCCTCTTTCCATCTTTATGTACCCTAGAAATTTCAAATCTCTGTTCCTGATGTTAAGTATAAGTCTCCTTTTTGTTTCCATTTTCACTAAGACTTCATTGTTGCTCACATGTTCAGTCCATGGTATTCTCAGTACCCTTCTGTTGCTTCAAGACTTTTCTTCAGACATCCTGAAGGGTCACGGCATGGAGAAGCAGCAGCAGCAATTCAATCTGACTCCACCTCACCATATAGATGAAGCTTTGTGGGTTCAATCTTCCAACCATAATGGTTGTACATTCTGTGCTCTTTAGGAGGGGGATAGTGGATGGAGTTAGGAGTATATATAGAATCAAACAGTTTTGTATTGTCACTCAATGATTGACAAAATAATAATGATTTCTTTTCTTAGGACACAATGCTGATGATATTGCCGAAACTGTGATAATGAATGGTAAGTTGACCTTTTTTTAATAATTCTTTTTCTCTTTATACTTTCACTGCTGTATTATTATTATTTCCTTTGATTTCTGGTGTGTACTCATTTCTTTCTGGGTCCCGACCAGAGACCTAAGGTCAGAAATGGCATTATGACATTTTCCACTGAGCAATTTAAAAAAAAAAAAAAAAAAAAGAATACAAACATATTTTACATAGATAAAGCCCTTTGTAAGGTGTGGTTTGTACTTGTGAGAACAATTTTTTATATTTCTTTAAGGCATCGGCTTCCAGGCATCCCTTCAATTAGTCTGTTGGAATCTTTTCCAATCAATCTGAGGGCTCTGAGTACAACAAGGATTGTTGATGTTCTCATGTACCACATTTTTGAGATTTCGATTTCAAGGTCCTTGTATTTTGATAGCTTTTTCTTCAAAGATACATTGCAGTCTGCAGGGACTGCCATGTCAATAAGGAGGTACATTTTGTCTTTGCAGTCATTAATCACAATGTCAGGGTGATTAGCTTTGATTGTTCTGTGTGTATTGTGATATTGTGAAGTCCCATAAAATTGTTACAGGTCCTATCTCTCTATCCGGATCTGGGTGCTGTTCATACCAATTATTATTATTATTATTTTGCTGCTGTATTATTATAGCATTGTTGCATGGTTGTGCTGGCCTATTTTGGGAAAAATAAGAAAATTGCTATTTACTGGAAATACATCTCCTACGTGGCACTATTTTATATTCTGCAGTTCAGACTAAGTTAAATGACACCGCCCCCCCCCATACACACAAAAGTACGTCACAAGTCAATTAGTTGTATTGTATGTTACTATACAAGGTCTGTCTGAATCATCATCTAACATGATATCTTTGGAATATATACCTGTAATCTTAGTTTTCTGCTAGGAGAGTTGTGGCAGGACAAATTGTGACTGCTTCACCATGACAATGCACCTGCTTACAGCACCCTGAGCATCCAGTAGTTCTTGACTGAAAAGAACATTGCCATGCTGGAACAACCTCCCTATTCACCTGATCTTGCACTGTGTGACTTTTGTGTTCAAAATCAAGGGTATGATCAAGGGAACCTGTTTTGAAGGTGTGGAGGCCATCAAGAGGGCTGTAACAACAAAGCTGAATATCTAAACATCCAAACTTACAGAAGTTGGTATTTCCAAGTGGTCACCCATCCAGGTACTGACAGGGTCAACATTACCTTACTTTTGGGATCATACGAGAACTGGCATTTCAAAATGATTTGACCAGAAGCCCTGTTTATGAGTAGGTGTCATATTGCAACACCATCACACCTCTAGACTGGTGAATGATAGTCACTTCAACAATTCAAACAGGAAACTTTGATCTTATGCATGCAGATGAAGTTGATTTTCCAAAGTCTGGTATCCAAGTCTTTTGTTGTTTTCTTGGCCTGTAAACAAAAACAAGCTGAAGAAATCTTTTCAGTTGACAAAATTATTCTTGGGCATTATCTCACTTGGTGGAGTGGGTGGCAAAAGGAATATATATATATATATATATATATATATATATATATATATATATATATATATATATATATATATATATGCCTTTCTAGTGTCAGGTTACAAGTTGATTTGCATACATGCAAAAGTAACAGGGACATGTTTTAATGACTTCATACCCCCGTCCCTCATTGGCAGGGTCAAGAAAATTCTTCCAAATTGAGGCAAAATGTTGGATCATATTAAAAAAAACAACAAAACCCCAATTTTACATTTTGGTCACATTCGACCTCATTTAAGGCCAAGTTGATTGATCTCAGTTGTCATTTTTCCAGCAATATGTGGGGCCTTGAAGAGTGGGTGCTACTTATTTCATTTGATCCTACTAGTTAAAACCCTGTTAAGTAACAAATTCAAACACAGAGAATTCCACATACTAATTCATTTTATTGTAATTAAACGTTTTTATTTCTCCAAAAAACTACTAAAAAACCAAACTCTAGAGTACGCTAGTAAAATCCAAATTTGCTAACTTGGCTGGCTGTGTTTTTTGCCTATGCCAACTAACACCAGATATAAATTAACTCTCTTGTAAAGTCCCACCAGTAACTTTGTTACATTCCTCCATCAACCACTTGTTATTTAATCTAATTTGTAAATTACAATCACAACAATTCACATTCACTTACTGGTAAAATCCTCACCACTAATTCTATTAAACTTGCTCACTTATAGTAATGTCTCATTCACAACTGAGTAATCCTCTGAGAGAGTGTCAGTATATGTTCAGACATATGCAAAGTCATATATATATATATATATATATATATATATAGTTACAGTCATTTACATAATTTACTCAAATTTTTAATGTGTCAAATTATTAGTGAGTTGTAATAAAAACCCTGTAAAAAAGAAAATAACAATTTGCTTCATTTACAGATTTTTATGGATACATAGAGTAACTGGATGAAATTAAAATAAAAAAGTAAACAGAGTTCAAAAAGGATGGTGGGTTTTTGGTTAATATGAGATATGTGATCCTTTTTTTTTTTTAAATGTCTTGGAAAAGGTGCTGATCCATGGAACATGTCAATTTCTGGATCATCTCTGATGTAATTTCACTTGATACATTGACTATTTCCTGCCATAAGTCATCCTTCTAAATTAGCGTCCATTCTCATAAACATGTCACTTCAGAATGCTCCACAAATTTTCAATTGGGTTTAAGTCTGAAGAATTGACTGGCCAGTTCATCTTCTGAGGTCCACAGAAGCCTAATTTCTGCAGTTACTCCATACTTTTATGTGCTAGATGCGAAGGAGTATTATGTTGCATAAATATGATGGTTCTCCTGAAGGTGATTCTTTGCTTGTTTAGGCAAGATTCCAGGTGCTCTTTGAGGAAGGCTATATAAGTATCTGTGGTTATTTTTGTACTGTCAGGCACTCTCCACAGACCAACCATGGTACCTCCAATAATACCAGCCCAAATCATTATACCTCCTCCTCCTTGTTGGCATGTCAAGCATTGATGATGATCTCATCCATTTATGACCCAACCTTTGCTTCAACCATCAGAGCACGACTTTCATCTATGAACAGAACTTTTGAGAAATTGACCTTTTATATTCTCCTTTGTCCATTTGTACTTTTGTCAATCGAGACTTTGTCACTGGTCTCACTGATGTCCCAACCTTTTTCAAAAGATGATAGTGAATACTTCTGGACACTGTTGCTTCTCCAATGCTCCTGAAAAGTTTGGAGAAATCTTCCAATTATTTTGGATATTTCTAATGTATATTTGCCTTTGGGAAGTTCACATGTTCTAATATCTTTCTCAGAAGAGGTCAAGTCACATTTGGGACCCATAATTGTATGATTATAATGACACTTTATAGTCTGGAATACTTCTATATCATGTTAATATTGCAAACGGCCAACAGAACAATACAGTTTTTATACAGCTTGCACATATACCTATTTCCATTAGACTAAAAATTTTGTTAAATTCCAACGGGTAGTTTTTGGACAAAATGAAAAAATGTCAACTTGTTAATAATTTGAAATGCATAGTTTTTCTCATTCCTTTTCCATGATCATCTTCAGGGGTGAATTGATTAATGTAAATGAAAATTGATTTACAGAAAAATTCACAACTATCAATTACATTATTTTTTTGTCTTAGCAATTCATCCCTGAAGAAAATCTTGTATGAGATTGAAAGTATTTGGGGAAAATAAAAGGAATGAGAAAAACTATGGCACCTTCCTTAATGAGTTTAATAACAGCATTAAGAAATTTATCTGTGAATTTGAGAGGATTAAAATAAAAATAGACATAATATGTCTAGATTATACAACCAAAAATGCTTGGATGAAGATATTCTGCCTATATATATATATATATATATATATATATATATATATATATATATATATACACACACACACACACAGTGTAACCCGGATATAAGAGAGTTGTCGGGACTGGAGAAGAAGTCTCTTATATCCGGGTTTGGTCTATTTTGTTTACATTAACACAGGCTCTAATTTGGGAGAGAGAAAATCTCTCTTATATCAGGGTTTCTCATATCCGGGTTACACTGTGTGTGTATATATATATATATATAAACTGAGTAATATGTACTGAATTTGATGACATATAAGGCACACTTTTTTTTTTTTTTTTACTGAAAATATCTTTTAAAATTCCCCTGTCTTATATACCATATGTATGTTTACTAATTACTAATTTTTTTCTTGATTTGCCCTGCTGAAGTTGGGGTGTGTCTTATACATGAATGAAAGAACAAATCAAAATACAGTCAAATACAGCATATATAATTTATTTTTATTTTATATTTATTTATTTTTGTTTTTTAGTTTTACGTGGAGATATTTCCCGACTGTCTCGGTGTACAGCAATCACAACTGTAAGTTTCTATCAGATTTAAATATTTTTTTTACCATTTGAAATTAAAACCAAATCAATGCCAAATCTGATTTTTTTTTCCCCCCATTTTTTTCTTCTTTTCTTTTATCTTGGTACCTTCACCTAACATTTAAAATGAATTTTTAATAATGAAAACTTTTTCTTGAAGTTTTTATTTTAGTTTTAATTTCAAGCTGATAGATTAAATTTAATATTTCTAATAAGCAAAATACTTTGCTGTATTTTAGAACTAATTTAATTTGATTGGATGGAGTTTTTTGAAATTTCTAAAATTTTTGAATTTTGCGCTATTTTTAGCAAACTGTTATAAAAAGGTAATTTTTTAGCGATTTTGTGGAGGTAACTGCATTTATTTTTTTTATTTTTTTTTTTTGCATCTTTTTTCTTTGCCTTTATCTTTTACCATCTTTTTTCATGACCTTCTTATTTTCTTCCTTTTTCTTTTTCCCTGACCTCCCCTAACCTTGTTTCCATTACATCTTTTGATTATTGAATTTTTTTTCTGTTAAATGATTAGAATCTTCACAACTCCTCATTTTACCAGTTATGGTCCCAGAAAATCCTCTTAATGCAACATTCTCATTGAAAATATTTTACCTATTTTTTTTTTTTTTTTTTTGTAGCAACTTTTATTGTTTTGCAGTATTCTTTTGAATCTTCTTATCATAATTCTGTAATCCAGCAATTTTAGGGTGTGGTGATTGCAGGACAGAATAGAATTGCTACCTCTTAAAAAAGATGATGCCACTTCTGACTTCATTCTGTGTGCATCCTGGTGGCTAACTAATTAATCTAATAACATTTTGAAAGTCTTCAGCCATCTTATGACATCATAAAACCAAAGCCAGTGTTTAGGATGGTAAGGTTCAGTGTGGTGTATCCAGAAAAAGTTATTTTTCTCTGCCACAGAGGCACATGAGGTCCTTTTGTTCAATTAGAACTTTTAAGATGGGGTTGGGCCTACAATCAAATCACACTGAAAACACTGCTTTTTGTTTGGTTGTCAAAGTTAAGCTGTGTCAAGTACGATCAGTACTTAGACGGGGGACTGCTTGGGAACACAGTAAGCAACCACCTACAATCCGAAATATGTTTCAACTTTAAAAATAACCCACAAAAGGTCGATAAGCTTAAAAAGCAAAAACAAACTGGTCAGTAACATGGGGTTGAATGATGTGCTTTTGAGAGACAAGATTATCACTTCATAAAATTGTTGAACATGTTGATGGTGTCTGTCTATATTTCTGAGATGAGGTATTATGTACACTATTTTCATTATTTGGACTACTGTCCTCATCTTTGTCATCATATTTATTACAACATTTCGGCCATTGTACGCTCCAGCCTTCTTCTTCAGGTGGTTGGAATGTTGAACTGGAGAACTTTCAGAGAGAAATTAACTGATAACTGACATCCATTAAACATGGCCCGTAGAACTAGAACAGTCTACCCCAGTAAGTGAAATAAAGGGTTCAGTTTGACATTCCAACCACCTGAAGAAGGCCAAAGTGTACAATGGCTGAAACATTGTAATAAATATGGCGACAAAGATGAGGACAATAGTATGAATAATGTAAATAATGTTGATGGTGCTTCATTATTGGCCATACCATCGTGCACCTCTTCAGTGGTGTTGTGTGGGCCACCTGGATGATCATTTGGTGCTTTTTAGTGTTCGATGACAAGAGCAGGTTCTTTTAAAGTGTATTTACCTACAACACACAGGTCCAACCCTTGGCACCATAGTGGAGCGGGGCATGCCACTAATTATAACTATTGTTCACTTTTGAGGAGAGAACTTTGAACGGCACTAGTTTTGTCCAGAACATTGTTCAATCAATTCTGCTGCCTTTCCTCAGACTATTAGCCTTCTACCACTTTTTGGCAAAATACTAAAGACGCTAATCAACTCTGAACTGGTTAAGCATCTCAATTCACAGAACCTTCTTTTAAATAAGCAATATGGCTTTCACTTCTCTAGGTCAACTGCTGACCTGTTAACAGTTATTGCTGAAAGAATCTGTTGAGCTTTAGATAAAAATGGTGAAGCTTTGGCTGTTGCTTTGGACATCTTGAAGTCATTTAACAGAATTATTAGATGTTGATATAATTGGAAACAGCTATACTTAAAGAGTCAGGCATTGAAAACTCATAATAAAGTTTTAACAAAATATGTTGGCATATTTGACAGCATTGGTAAACTAGAATTTAAAAACAATTATATTGGACATAAAGTAGGAGCTTTTTGCTAGAGTTATTAAATAATAAACTGTTCCCCTTGCAAAAATGACTACATATTGATATAACAATTGAAAAAATATATATTTAAAGACTTGTATGTGAAAACATTCTAATAACATGCAGGTATTTTTTCATGGAATGAGTAAACTTTTCTTAATAAAAGATTCTACTGGATATTAAGTGGGAGATCGGCAAAAATATTTTTGTTTTCAATTAAGAGAAAAAGAGAATGTGTAAATCCAATTTCATTTGTTAGGTTTTGATTAAAAATTCTAAAAACAGATTTTTAAAACAATGAATATTGCTGAGGATTATACAATAATAATGGTGTCAAGGGAATAACAAGACTTTTTTTTTTCTCTTGACACCTATTCGACAAACTTTCTTTTTTTTGTTAAACTTTACCAAAAATACTTTCTCAGAATGACAAAACTTTACAAACTTTGGCTCTCTTCACCTAATTCATTTTATATTGACACAATCTGTGGATTTGAATTTTTTTTTTTTTTTTTTTTTTTTCAGGCTTCAGAAGGAATGCTACCTCGTTGCAAACCTCTCAAGTACACGTATGAAAAGGAAATTGTTATGTAAGTATAACCAGACATTTTTTTTAATCTTTGTGCTTGCAAAGAAAACAGTGCGTTAAAAAGACGGTTATTCTCTTGACACCAATATTATTGCACTTTTGATTCTCTTGGAAATATTTATTTACAAGATTATAAAAATATTTGAACCAAGTTTATAAAGAAATAAATTTGGAAAGAAATCTTTTTATTTAAAAATTAATAAAAATTACAAAATTTTCAAAATACATAAGAGGAAGCTCTCAACCTATTTTAGTGAATTTATGTGGCAAGAGTAAATGAAAGAAATGTACAGAAAATGATTTTTTCAAAATTTATTATAGTTGCTCATTGTTATGTGTTTATTTAAATTTTCTTTTTCACAGATATTTTTATAAATTTATGAATAAAAACATTTCTTTTCACATTTATTTCTTTATAAAATGGTGAATAATAAATATTTCATTTTATTTGGTTCAAATATTTTTATAATCTTGTAAATATAAAATTATTCTTGTAAATAAGCAATCTAATAAATAAATAGGGTTTAATATCTTTGTTGTTAATTCTCAAGATTAAAGAAAATGTATAAATCCATTTTCATATGTTTAGGTTTTATTAAAATTCTAATTGTCGCTTTTTAAAACAATAAATATTGCCAAAAGAAGTAAAACTATACAGCTATAGTGGTATCAAGGGAATAACTATCCTTTTGACCCATTGCTGGGTCTGATGATAAACTACATCTGGCAGCAAGGCCTCTGATCAGGAGATTGGAGCTTTTCAGGAATGTAGAACTATTTTTTAATTGCTGTTGTTTGCAGGTCCACCCTGACCTGGGGTGGTAGCACCTGTTAGGGTCCCAGCTATGGGCAAATAGTGCCCCCCCCCATCAACAAAAACAAAATACTATGAAAGTATAAAAAAAGATCAACAATACCTATTTATAGTATATATTGAAACCATAAAATTTTGTTAAAAATATTTATATTTTGGCAATAAATAACCCAGAAAGGTTGATATGTTGTTAAACAAAATCAACCAAACAAAAAACATGAAAGAACATCTCTCATGGCATTAATCCATATAATATTCTACAATTTCTTAAAGAAATAAAACTGTATTCCAAAATATAACTTCAACAAAACTACAACATAAAACACGCATATCACCGCCTCTAGTAATCATGTCCATACAAACATGTCTATGCACAAAAGCTGAGTATCATCTACCATGTATTCGACTGTGAAAGCAGAATAACATATATCATATATTTATTACTTCAAAGCTCCCAAGAAAATTAAATTTCAGCATTAAATAACCCATAAGTGTACAAGCGTTGCCCTGGTCTTCTCATGAAATTATGGAAGATCATTAAAGTAATTTGGCAGCGAGGTAAAGTTGCAGAACAATGGCGATACGCAGAAGGTGTTTGGATCCCAAAAGAAGAGAACATGAAAATATCGAACAATTTCGATGTATCTCGTTACTGAGTACAGAAAGCAAAATATTTTTAGTGTTATTTCCCGACAGCTATTAGCTTTTCAACTAAAAAATAGCTTTATAGATACATCGGTACAAAAGGCGGAATCCCTGGTATGCCTGGCTGCGTTGAGCATATAGGAGTTTTGTTGCAATTAATAAGGGATGCAAGGAAGAATAAAGGAGACTTGGCTGTTGCGTGGTTGGACTTGGCCAATGCATATGGGTCCATACCACATAAACTCGTGGAAGAAGCTTTAGTTAGACACTACGTCCCAAGTAGCATCCGCGAGCTTATCCTAGATTATTACAGACAATTCCATCTAAGAGTTGCATCCGGTTTGGTTTCTTCAGATTGGCATAGACTCGAGAGAGGAATCATTACAGGCTGTACATTGTCAGCCACGCTTTTTGCTCTCGCGATGAACATGCTCGTGAAGTCCGCTGAGGTGGAATGCCGTGGCCCCGTTTCAAATACCGGAGTTAAGCAACCACCCATCCGGGCTTACATGGATGATCTTACAGTCACCACGCATTCTGTTACAGGCTGTAGATGGCTATTACGGGGTTTAGAGAGATTGATTGAGTGGGCAAGAATGAATTTCAAGCCAAACAAATGTAGATCAGTGGTAATAAAAAAGGGCCGAGTGGTAAAACGCTATTTCACAATAGAAGGAAGAGCCATCCCAACGTTGGCCGATAAGCCTGTTAAAAGTCTAGGTAAATCCTTTTTGTAATGCTCTGAAGGACACACCAGCTATCGGGCTATACGTACTGATTTTGACTCGTGGCTGGCGAAAATAGATAAATCGGGATTGCCAGGGCGCTTCAAAGCCTGGCTATACCATCACTGTGTGCTCCCACGAGCATTATGGCCACTCCAGACATATAGCGTTCCCATCTCGACTGTGGAGACTTTAGAGAGAAGTGCTAGCAGTTTCCTCCGTAGATGGTTAGGATTACCTCGGTGCTTAAGCAGCGCAGCCTTATATGGATCATCCAATGCCATCCAGAGGACTAGTTGAGGAGTTCATGGTGTCATGGACAAGGGAAAGCTACCATTATAGAAACTCCAGAGATCTCAAAGTATCAGGTGCGGGAATAGAGATTAAGACTGGCAGAAAATGGAGTGCTACTAAGGAACTAGCTGTTTAGAAGGGAATCTGAGGGTAAAAAGCAATAATGGGTTCAGTCGCACAGGGCAGAGCAGGCCTGGGGTTGATTCCTCCTACAAATTGGGAAAAGCACCGTGAAGGCGTCAACACCTGATACAGGGACGAAGTCAGAGCAGGGATGGAGGAAAATTGGATGACAAAAAATGGCAGGTTATAGCCAGCAGGGGCGTGGACGAGGTGGGATGGTGTAGATCGGCGGAAAGTGTGTGGGTCAGATCTTTGGAATACCGACTTCAGCCGATCTAGATTCCTGGTTCAGATGGTGTACGACATATTACCAAGCGCGACCAACCTACACCTATGGGGAAAAATAGATTCACCAAAGTGCCCCCTGTGTTCGGGGAGGGGATCACTGCAACATATATTAATCAGGTGCAGAACAGCTCTGACAGACAGGCACTATCGGTGGCGTCATGACAAGGTTTTAGAGGTGATAGCACTCATTATTACTGAAGCTTTACAGAGTAATAAACTCATCCCAGAATGAAGAGCTATCCGCTTTGTTAAAGCAGGTGCAAAGCCGAGTAAGAAGGTTGCAGGATCCCAGTCACTGTTATCATCCGCGTCGGATTGGCAAATGCGAGCCGATCTCGGGAAACAATTAAAATTTCCAACACATATATCGTCCACCAAACTCCGTCCAGACATAATCGTTTATTGGACGCCACAAAACAGATTATTTTGCTGGAATTAACTGTCCCATGGGAGGAGCATATGCAAGAAGCATTTGAGAGAAAATATAGTAAATATGAAGGACTCTTAAATGACTGTAGGACTAAAGGATGGCATACTCGTTGTTTCCCTGTGGAGATCGGCTCTAGGGGTTCGCCGGACAGTCAATGATACAAGCTCTTACTAGCCTAGGGATAACGGGACAAAAAAAGGTTTTTAGGCGATTCAAATGATCCTGGAGTCCATCGAAAAAGGCAACTAGGTGGTTGTGGATAAATAGAGCTAATGTGTGGCCCAAAACTACAAAATAAGAACGTTCCCAATGCAGATGTACACACACCATAAATGCCATCACTAAATACTTTTAAGACTGATTAGTATATGTGAAATTAGTGTATATAGATGACGAGAAACTTGCGAGAATCAATCTTTCGATGTGCATCCAGTCTCGTATGCAATGACTTCTTACTGGTCTTTCGAGTAGATTCATTTTATTACAAAAATACTAAACATGTAAATAGTTTGATTAATTTATTTTTAAGCGATTTTAGTCAAATGTTTTTCTCTTAGTTTTTAAAGTTGTAAATAGTCTGTCTTTTTAACCACGCTATTGTAAACGTTTTATTAAGTGTAGTTTAGGAAAGAAAAGAAAATAAGAATAAAAAAGTAAAAAGAAAAGAAAGACCAAACAAATAAGTTAGTTAAGAGGGGAGGTAGAGAAAGAACAAGTTGCAAGACGAACCAATATAATAAATCGTTTGTTTTTTTTTTTTTTTTGTGTGTGTGTGTATATATATGTATTTGTGTGTGTGTGTGTATATGTATCTGTGTATATATATGTATATGTAGATGTATTTATGAGTATATTGGTTTGTTTTTTCTATTCTTCCCAAAAAACACTCATTCTTGGCCGCAAGTAGGAAGATCACTACAACCATGCATACCTAATTTATATCATTGAATAGCCCAAGTGAAATCTTGATTGGTTGTTGTTTGCTGGGGCAACTTATATAATTCACGTCCTAAAGCTAGTGGCAAATTTTTGTTCTAGGTGCGGGCCGAATACTGATCATATTTGGTCGAATTAAGCCCATCGAAGAAGTCTGTTGTTTATTTAGACCCAAAACTTCTAGTGACATGGGAGCAACAACACTGACGACGCATCTAGATTCAGCACTTAAAGGTGTATTCTAATAATAATGATAATAAGTTGATATGCTGTTAAACAAAGAAATCAAAAAATTTTGACACACCATTTTTTTGTGATAGTTAAACATTGCCTTATTTTATTAGGAAATATTTACAACATATTTTGAGGTATGAGATTTTATTATATAACTTGTGAGTTTTTCATATTGTAAATTATATATATATATATTTCATTAAAAATGGCAGACAAGGTTTAAGCTTTTTATTTAATTTTTCTTGTGTTCATAAAAATAACATTATCCACAATACTAAGTAAAGAAAAACAGATACATAACACTACCTACCAACTCCATAACATCCTCTGTCCAAAACAACTTTTCTCATCTAAACAACACCCAAATAGTCACAACCATTTCCAAAACCATTATGGATATGATCAGAACTAAAACCACCCATAGCAATAATAATTCCGAACCAGGTAGATATAAAATAAATTGCTAAAATTGTTCCTCACAATACATTAGGAAAACATGCAGAAATTAAAAAAAAAAATATATATATGAACATAAAAGGGACCTCATTCATGACAATTTATCAAATGCACTGGTCATACACAGGAATAAATCCAACCACAATTTTGATCTAAAAAAAATTCCACACTCATCAAAAGAGAAAGTAATTTACTCAGAAGGAAAATTCTTGAGAATGCCGCCATCAAATCTTATCAAAATATAAATCTCGGCCCTGCTTTTTTTCCCAATCTCACCTTTCATGAAAGAATTCCTACTTTCCCAAGTCAACATATACACTCACAAATATTTTAAAAAATCAAGAGAAAATCATTAGCATCAGACACTTATATTCAGTAATGTTAGATTTGTTTTTTTTTTGTTTTTTTTACAGACAGGAATTTACATAAATTTCTATGAATTAAGCTTGTTATTTAAAATATTTGAAAAATTTTTAAGTTGTTTTTTTTTTTTTTTTTTTTTTTTTTTTTTTTCTCTTCTATTGTAGGTATGCCTATTTTAAGAAACTGGATTATTTTTCTACAGAATGTATCTATTCTCCAAATGCTTACAGGTAAGTCTTGGACATTGACCTGATTATACTTTCGTAATAGAACACTTTCATAATTATGTATTCCAAATAAAATCTTGCTTGCTTCTAAATTATTGTTCTGGGTGTTTTTAGTTCTGATCCATAACACTTTTGGAAGTGGTTGTGGCTATTTGGACGTTGTTAAGATAGGATAGGTTATTCTGTAGAGGGTGTGTTATGAAACCCATAAACATGACGCTTTACAATAATTTTAGTTTTACTTTGTGTGTGTGTGTTTGTCTCACACACTCACACACTCTCTCTCTCTCTCTCTATATATATATATATATATATATATATATATATATATATATATATATCCACACACATGCACTGTGATGGATAAATTATCTAAATTATGCAAAAATGAAAATAACACTGACATCTGATCTTAACAGAAATTACACAAAAATATCTTGAAATACTAAAGTGTAAATTTATTTAATAAAAATCACCATTGGCTTCAATCACGGCCTCCAAATGACTTAAGAATTTGCTGCAAGTTTTCTGGATGGTCTCCTTGTTCAAGTTGGTGAATGCTGCCATAATCCTTGCCTTCAGTACATCTTTGAAATGCAACTTTTGAGTTAGACATTCTGACATATGATAGGAAAAAGGATGCATTGGGCAAAAAAAGGTCAAAAACAACTGCAGATTTCCTGGCAAATTATATTTTAAATTATTTTTTCTTATTTATAGTTAAGATGTTATAGTTATTTATAGTTGGTTATGGTACAATAAATTGATCTGTTTATTTTTGTTTATATCAGGAGAATTGTTAATATCATTTTCTTCTAAATTTCTTTAAAGTTAATTTTATTTGTTTGTTAATGACATGGTTGGAGAAATTAAGTGTTTTATTTGCCATAATTCTTTATAAAATAATGTGTGGAGAAAAATAATTTTTGTTTGGGTTTTATATATTTAAGGACATTAACATTTGTAATTGAGCTGTTTTTTGCTTGTATGTTTTCTATATAGTGAATTAGTAAAAATTGTCACTTAGTGTCAACTAAAACATCAAGGAAAAACAGTCAAGTGTAGAGCAGAGATTTTCTCAACTTTTTTTTTGTTTTACATTAACGTAAATATATTATCAGTCTATCAGACGTATATTATGGTTTTGACAGAAAGATTTGTTTTCTCAATGAGCCATGTAGAAGTTAGATAAAGTGGTACCAAGATGTGAACCCATAGCTAAGCTGTGAGTCTGTGTGATCATAATGATCATAAAAAGATACTTGTGCCATCCAAGATTGAAATTTACATAGAATTATTGGTTTAATATTGATCAGAGAATGTTTATATAATTTTGTATTACTATATCTATCATTTTTTTGATTCTTTCTTGTAAATGCAAGGCTAGAAAAAGGTACTAGAAAAAAGTATCAGGTCATCCCATAAGTTCTATCCAAATTTTAACTTTTTGTTAAAATGAACAAAATTTAAAGAGTATTTTATAATGTCTAATGGAGCTGAACATTATTTTTCTGTTTAGATGCATTTAAACTGATCAAATTTTATTTCAGAGAACAATAAAATTAATTTTTTTTTTATTAAAACCCTGCTAACATGGAAGTACCCAAGAATCATTTGAGGCACATAATGCTTTATGAGTTCAAGAAAGGAAACTCGGCAGCCGAAGCGGCTAGAAACATTCACTCAGTTTATGGAGAGGAATGTGTGAATGAAAGAACTTGCAGAAGATGGTTTGCAAAATTCAGAGGTGGAGATTTCACCCTTGAAGATGAAGATCGAACCAGACGTCCAGTTGAGTTTGATGAAAAGCTTCTTGAAGCAGCCCTTGAAGAAAATCCTGCTTTATCAGTTGAGGAATTGGCAGTGGTTCTCAGTTCAAATCATACAGTTGTTCATTGTCATCTTCAACAACTTGGAAAAGTTCCTAAACTTGGAAAATGGATGCCTCATGAATTGTCTGAAAACAACCTCAAATCCCGAGTTGACATCTGCTCTTCTCTCCATTCTCGCCAACTTGTTTCACCTTTTTTGGATAGACTTGTGACTGGCAACGAAAAATGGATCTTTTATCGAAATGTTAAGTGTCATAGACAGTGGCTTGGTAAAGGGGAAGGACCCCAGCCACAGCCGAGAAGGGAACTTCATGGGCAAAAGGTTCTTCTTTCAATCTGGTGGGATCGCCAAGGAATAATCCACTTTGAATTCTTACCACCTAATGCAACAATTAATGCTCAAATATACTGTCAGCAATTAGAGTGTTTGAACCAAGCTTTGAGGAAAAAAAGACCTGCTCTAGTGTATCAAAAAGAGGTGATGTTTCATCAGGACAATGCATGACCCACACAGCAAGAATCACGTCACAAAAGATCGAAGAACTTGGTTGGGAGAAAATTCCTCATCCACCTTATTCTTCCGATCTTGCTCCTTCAGACTACCATTTGTTTCGTAGCTTACAGAATCATTTGGAAGAAACAGCTTTTGTAACACAGGAAGAGTTTAAAACTGCCATTTGTGAGTTCTTTGAATCAAAGCCAAAAAGAATTTTACAGTAATGGAATTAGTAAGCTTGTTAATAGATGGAAGGAAGTCATAGATAATCAGGGAAAATACATTGTTGATTGAATCTGTAATTAAATGTAACATTTGGTCACTTGTTTTCTTTATTCAAAATTCGGACAGAACTTATGGGATGACCTGATACATAGTTGTACAGTTCTTTGAGGGCATTTGCATGAATTTAGTAAAAGATGCATAAGTTATTAAAGAAGAGGTTTTATTTGAGAGGCAATTGACATGAATAACCTCTTGGGACTCTTTTTGATGCATATCATTAATGAATCCACTATCATCATCAATGGCTGCTTCAATACAAGGTCTGAAATGTTGACATGAGATCTTTATCTATTTTGGACATTGTACTTGTTAGGGCAGACTTCAGAGATTTTAGAGTGTTATGGTGGCATTGACTGACTTCTCTCTTGATTATGCCTCACACGTAATAGTCCAACAGATTTATATTTGGAGATCTAGGAGGCCGTATGTTTGGGATGGTGTGATTGTGAAGGTTGTAACTCATCCATTTTTACGTCGTCTTGGACTTATGAGATGGCACAGTCTTGTTGGTAGGTGCATGATCTTCTTTTGCTCACTCTCTATTGAAGGCCTCATATCCTTCTCCAAAGCTTCCTTATAGTCAGCAACATTGACCCTTAGACCCTGAGGAAAGAAGTGAAGAAGCAGGACATCTCCCTCATTGCTTGGTTCCCAGAATTATCATAGTTGCTGTATTGAAGATCCTCATGCACAATTATTCTGATAGAGTGCCTTGAAACCTTGAGCTCTTTAGCAATGGTTTTAATTGACTTTTTATCGATAATTTTCTGCACCTTTTGGGCAAATTTGGGACACTTTGCAGGAGTTTTACATTTGGTTACTGTTGTAAAATCCTCATCAGTGGCTTCCAGCTTCTTGCCAACTTTGACAACAAACGACCGTGCATCTTTCAAGAAGCGAGAAATCTCTAAATCCTGTGCTCTGCTTTTAAGGCAATGATTACAAATGATTGGCTTCTTATTTGCTGAGTTCATTTAGTATTTGTCATCTTTTATCTGAAAAGAAATGATAATCAGAACTAGTTAGAAAAAAAAAATTTGAGCTATTGAAAGACGTGCCCTCAAAGAACTGATCAATCGTGTATCTAATTTTTTTGATGGGGATATTGTTAAAAATACCAACAAGGAAAGTGTGCCATTATTAGGTTCATATGAGTGCAGTATTTGAAGAAGTTAATTCAATTTATTGAATGATAGGATCAGTTGGTTTAAAGTTTTGGATAAGTGATATACAGGGATAGGAATATATGAAATTATGGTATGTAGAGGCGAGCCAGCTTTATTTTTACATGACAATATAGGTAGACAGTAATACATACAGTATTGTACAATTTGATGAATCCAATTTCAGTGTTGTTGGCTGTAATAAGTTTATTTATCTGTGTCTCAAGGAGCTCATAGTATATTTGTTTATTTTTTTTTAAATTTAGTTTTGTTGTTGAGAATAGAATGTAGTTTTTTATGTTTAAAATAACTGATTTTTCTTTCAAATTACAAAGGTTTTGTGATTTCTAAGTTTGTTATAAGATTGGCTTAGAACTTTTTTTAAGAGTAGGGATTTGCTTCCTTTACTTAGGTCTACCTTTTAAGCTTTCAGCCTGAAGCAAGACTGAGTTGTGAGGTATTTTATTGTCTTGTAAGCGAATGGATTTTTTGTATAGATTTTCAATTTTCACATTTTTTTTATACTGTTGTCAAATTGATGGCAATTTGGTTCTCAGTTGAGGAACTCCTATTCCTTTTACTGTAAGTAAATTCCTTTTACTTGTCTAAGAAAGTTGGAAAAATAAAATATTTGGGCAGCAACCCCTATACATGTTTATTAAACAAGCTAATGTTGGGTAGTTCTATTATAACAGCTCCCTACCTGAAGGAGCTCCCAAACAAGAATAAATATGATGTATGATAAGGAGGCCAAAATATGTTCCCATTTTTATTAAATTCAACAATGTAAAAATGACATAAACATGGTACTTAAAATAGATAAGGTTTGTACTACAAGTTTTCTACCTTTTGAGCTGAGGTGGCCAACTTTCATCTATGAATATCTGTTCTACATGGTGTGATTAGTTTGTTTAATAAATATGTATTAAAGAGGGGTTGCTGCCCAAATATTTTATTTTTCCAACTTTCTACATGTTGCTCTAACTTCTTCTCTGGAGCCAACTGCTATCAGTATCAAGGGCCTTATTCCATCTCAGTTGTCTTGACTGTGCCAAAAGCATTTACTTCACTTCTTTGCTCGGCATTAAGTAACCCACAGAGGTTGATATGCTGCTAAACAAAATCAACCAACCGACTTCTCTGCTGGCTAGGTGGAATGTTCTATCTAAAGCCTTACACCATCAAAGTATTTTTTTTTTTATTATGTTTTCAAGTATGCAAATATTTTCTTTTCTGGACTTGTCAGTCAGTCAATTAAGTGCCATACATGATACACACACTTGGGCAATCATGTCTCTTTTGATCCATGACTGATTAGGCAAATTTCCCCACAGTAAGCTGCCATTTCTTTCTGTAGCAGAATTGTTGCCAACCAAGGCTACGGGGACCAGTCTCTCCTGCTATTTAACCTATAGCTGGAGGGAGAATAGATGGATTCATGCCTTTCGCAAGGGTATTTGTACATGAGTAAATATAACGAACCTGACTGGAATTTGAACTCTTCTATCCAATTTCTCATTCTGAGCCATTATTCTTTACAGCCCACAAAATGTAAAAACTGCCCAAATGTTTATCAATTTCAAACACTTTTGGATAAACTATTAACGATTTTCAAGGATTATTTTTGATGCTACTATAATGAATGTTGTGTTATGTGCAGTTGTAGGGAGTTTAAAATTGCTGAAAATAGACATATTCTTAATTTCCAAATATGGCCAGTACAACTAAGTTCAGCAACGGAAAACACTTGTATGTATTCAAGAAAACAAAAACAAAAAATAACTAAAGTACCTTGTCAGTCTTAATGATAAACTGTTTTAAGAGAAATTAGTAAAATGATACCAGTTCAAGCAACAGTAGTACAAGCTGCTTGGTCGATGAATACCAAATGTTTCCTTATAAGGAAATGGCTAATATTGGCCTAATGTAGTAGCCTATTATATATTTATTCATTGTAAAGGCATAAAATAAATTGTGTTCTACTCACATCAGATTGCAGATTTTTTTTTCTTTTTTTGTGTAAAGAATGAATTTAATAAAGTTTAAAGAAATGTCCCAGTGTTTATGGTCAAAGGTCACTTTCATTTGGCATTGAAAATGTTCAGGAAAAAAAAAAAAAAGGACATCTTACAAGATTTGAAGCTGTTAAAATGTAAAAACTGAATTCTCAGGATTTGTTATGTAATAATCAGACAGAATCAGATGGATTGAGCAAATGAGGATTTATGACATGAAAACGAAATTCTTCAATTTTAGAGATTTGCTTTTGGTATTGTTTTCATGTATATAAAGAAGTGAGTTAAGTAGACACAAATTTGAAATTCCTTTTACATTTGTCGGATTGAAATTTTATACAAATTTATTTATTTTTATTTTTTTTTTTTCCTTTTGACATACATCAAAATTTATTTATTTTATTTTACTTTTTATCCTTTTGGTGTGAATTTTTTTTCTTTTAATCAATTCAGAGGTTTTGAAATCCAATCCTAAACAGGAGACTTCACAGCCACATCACGATCAAAGATCTGGATGGATCACTTGGGAAACCAAGTTCCATCATTGGTTTGGAAAAGCAACTGAGTTCCATTTCCAGTTTTTGATATGAATGGATCTCTCCTCCCCCCAGCTATGGGTTAATTAGTAAAATTTGTATCAATAAAACCATTATTATCTATCAGGTCATCCCATAAATTCTGTCCGAATTTTGAATAAAGAAAACAAGTGACTAAATCAGTTAATTAGTCTGTCATTTTCTGTCTCTTGGTAATTTCAATACTACCAGACCCAGGGATTGAACTTGCAACTGCCAGATATGTTTTAATCAATGCCCTAATCCACTATGCTATATGTCATGTTTGTTTTTAGTTGAATGACTAGCCAACTTGAAGAACTCTTCAACAGATTGGTAATATAAAAATAGCAAAGATTATTATTATTATATTTGTGATAAATTTTATATAAAAATCAAAAGTCAAAATCGGAAGTCAGGGTAGTATTTGTAGTAATATTTTGACTATTTTCTTTATTTGTACTAACCATGCAACTGCTGATAGTCTGACTCTTAAATAGTTCTTTCCATAATGACAGTCAAACAGAAGATATGACTTTTTTTTTTCTTCTTTTGACTGTTTAAAATATCTTGTAATGTGAATTTCTTTCTCTTGAATAGCATCTCTATATATTCAGCTGGTAGATATTACTTCACCCGATTTTGGCAATAATGTCCAAACTGGGATTTATATTTACTTCTAAAATAGTCTGAAGGAGTTGCACAAACCTGAAAACTCCTTCCATAGTGATGAATGCAGTTATGATTATCTCACAAGTATGGTTGGGTTGCTTATACAGTCAATGACAAAATTATTTGTACATCCATCAATTTTGAATATTTTTATTCATTTCTCAGAATCTAATGACATATGATACCAGGCTTTTTACATGTTAATAAGCACAAAAAAAAAAAAGAAAATGAATATAAAACTCAATTTTCAGAACAATAGATTAAATACAATAAATTTGACAGTTAAATTATGCAAAATAGGAAAAGACAAAATTATTTCTACAATATGAAAAATAGAAAAAAATTGAACAATTTTCACAATATTAATAGTCAATAGCATGGCCTCTCATCTTTACAACTTGCTGCAATCATTTTCTAAAGTTTTTTTATAAGATTTGAACAAGTCTTTTCTGGGATTTTCTTCCATTCTTCAATGGTTACACGTTCTAATTCCTGAAGGTTTTTGGTAACTGAAGATTTGTTCGAAATTTCAATTCTTGCCATAGATTTTCAATAGGATTCAAGTCAGGAATCATTACAGCCATGGCAGAACTGTAATCTTCTTTTTCTGAAGCCATACAATCACTGATTCAGACGTATGTTTGGGATCATTATTTTGTTGGAAAGTAAATTGCCGACCTAGATGAAGATTTTGCACTGACAGTTGTAGCTTTTCATCCAAAATTTTGTTATAGTCAGCAGATTTCATTATTCCTCTTATTGCAATTAATTGTCCAGTCCCCCTTGAGCTAAAACACCCCCCCCCAAAACATCATGAAGACGCCTCCATGTTTTAATGTTGCTACTGTGTTCTTTGGGAGGAAAGCCTCACCTTTCTTGCACCAAATCTTCTGTACATCATTATGGCCAAAAAGCTCAATTTTTGTTTCATTAATCTGTAGTACTTGTTCCCAAAAGCAATTTTCTTTGTCCAAGAAAATTTTGGCAAAATTAAACCAAGAAACAATGTGACATGGTTTGTGAAGAGAGGTTCTCGTTGTGGTCAGTTTCCATACAACCCATTTCTATTTAAACTACATCTTTTTGTGCAAGTAATTATGCTGATACCTATCATGTGCAAACTTTTGGTGATATCTTTGAAAACAACTCTTGGGTTTATATTAACTTCACAATACAGTATTCGTGCAATTCTCAGTGACAATTTGGGTTTTCTTCCACGCCCTGGCAAACTCTCTGTCATGCCAAACTGTTTAAACTTCTGTACTGTACCATAGATCTAAGGATAGCTAACCGGTTTGAAGTAGTGCTGAAACTATTTCTCGACTTGTGGAAGTTTATAATTTTCTTTCTCAAGTCAGCAGTAAGCTCCTTTGTATTCACCATCGTGTTGTGAATAACAATGGTGACACTCTGTGAATCATGTGATGTTCTTTGCTGGAATTATTGAGTCTAGAAGGCTTCATGGATAAAATTATTATGCAAGTTATACTTGCACAAATCAAATTATTTAAAACAATATTTTCTACTGTACAAATAATTTTGTCTTTTCCTATTTTACATAATTCGCCTGTCAACATTGTTCTGAAAATTGAGTTTTATATTTGATTTAATTTTGTGCTTATTAAAATATAAAAAAACCTGGCATCATATAAGCATTACATTTTGTGAAATGGATAAAATATTCAAAATTAATGGGTGTACAAATAATTTTCATGTTGACTCTATATAAAGACTGGTAATTTACTAAAGGCCAATACATTTTTATTAAAAAATACCAGCAATAGATTTTAACAGTAAAAAAAAAAAAATTACTGAAGCTCCCAAGAAAAATAAATTTCAGCATTAAATAATCTATAATGAGTTGATATGCCATTAAACAAATCTTCAGTTTAGAACATAGTCTGAAACAAGGGTAAAAGTATTTGGCACCCAGTGAGGAACAAACTCATCAGTAATGATCAACAAAATTATCTTGCTAAAAATTCCATTAAAGTCTAGTGCATATATAATTTTTTTTCTTCTGTGAGGTAATGTTTACAGAAGGCAAAATGAATTTGAAAGCTGTGGGAAAAGATCTACCTGGCTGGAAAATATACAACGATCTCAGCCAATTCTTCCTTTGTATTAAATATTAAGATTTTTTATTCAGTTGATATTTACTGAGATTATTTGATCTCATGCCATACTAGGTGGGCATTCAAAACAACTGCATTTAGTTAGGCTTGAAACCAAATTGTTGCTTGTAGCAAACATAACTATATCAGCCTCAAGTCATGTCTAAATCTTGATAAAGTTCATCTGTAGAAGTATAGGGTAACATTTATGAAGCTTTGTAGGATTTTTTTTTTTTTTTTTACAGTAATGTTCATCCTGTACAATGCCCGGGAGCCACTCGAGGTAGAGGGTTACAGAGTAAAAGGCACTGTTTAAGGGGATATGTGGGGAAGATAATAGTAACTCTAGACTGGAACAGGTTAAGATTGTAGTGACTGGGGGAAAACATCCTCTTGGGAGTTGGTTTCATAGAGCAGTGGTTTGTGGGAAGAAAAAATCGTGATAAACTTGCATCTCACCAGATGAAATACTATAATGTATGTAGCAGGGCGGGTCCTAGCCATGAAGGCTAGAACTGAAGAATGTAGTCCGTCTGAGGACTTTGTTTATGAGAAAGGAGTTGTAGGATGGAAAATAATTTGTAACCCACAAGGACAGGGCTGCAGATGTAATTTTGGTATTGAATATTAATTGGACATTTCATGCAATTGAATCCTTGAGTTATTGGAAGGGCTCAATTGGAGAATTCACTTGATTGCTTCATACTTAAACTGAATTCACTTTATTGCAGATATCATTCATTCTGGAGAAAGTCTGGCTGTGAAGAAGAAAGTAAAATTACCTGTTCAAGGTACGTAACTCTTGTTATCATAGTGGTAATATTGAAAATTAAATTCTATTTTCTAAAAAAAAAAAAAAAATAGAACTTACAATTGCTATTGTTGTTAAAACAAAAGCCATTATCACAAATACACTTCTACAAGTTGTCCATAAAGTTCGTGTGCACTTTAAAAAATTATAACTTTATTTGTATTTGCGATAGAAATAATTTGTAAAAAGGATTAGAATGAAGTAAATCTATATTTTTTTAAGGTTTTATTGAAATTTTATTTTAGTTTCCACATGTCTACCATCATTAGCAATACAAAGGGTAATACGATTTTGTAGTTCACGGAAAACATTTGTCAACTGACTTACAGTAATGCCTAAAATCACATTAGTTATTTTAGCTATACTTAAAACTAAGTACATTAAACTTTATAACATTTTTTACAGATTATTTCTATCATAAATACAAATAAACTTATAAATTTTTTAAAGTGCACACAAACTTTATGGACATCCTGTATTTCTACAAAATGATCTAATGGTACCTTTTATTATTGCTGACATGCCTCACTTTCCATTTATATTTCTGTAGCAAGTTATTTAGAAATATGCCAACACTGATTTCAACCAATGTTTGTTTATTAGATGTGCATCATTCCAGTAAAAAAAAAAAAAATGGAGGGAGGACTGCAATCATTTAATAAATTTGAGCCAAAGTTCCATCTTTGTTCTGTTCATTAAAAGGTGGAAGCTCACATTGAAATGATCATATGCCTGGTTAGTACCTAGATGTGTGACCACTTGGGTGGTATAAAGGATAATAGCTTGGATATGTATGAATCCACCTCTTCTCCCTCACAGATATGGGTTAATTTGTATTAGTAAAATATTATCACAAAAAAAGAAAAAATACAATCTAAAAAAATTTCTGGCTTTAAATAACCTGCACTTGCAAAGGGGTTGATAAGCCATAAAAAAAACCAAAGAAGTAGATCAAATTAAATAAACTTTCTCCGCTTTTAATGAACACAAATGTGTCACATAATATAAAACAACAAAACTTAGTGCAAATAGTTTTAATAAATTTAATTTACTAAAATAAGATTCAAATTAATGTGTTACAAAATAATTTTATTAAAGAAAATATTACATCACTTGAAGTTATTAAAAAAAACCCCAATTTATCCTTCTTAGGTTCTTGCAGTAGGTGCCATTATGTGTCCAGCCAGCCAGTCTGTAAAGCATGTATTCTTCTGGAAGGTCTTAATAAAGGAATTCCCAGGTGAGAGAGAGAGAATTTAGACATTTCAATTTAAGACTTGATATTTATATTAAATTTGAAATGTGTCCAGATCATAAAGAAGACTGACAAATATTATTTTCTTTTTTTACTAGATTGGGAATTGGCAAGCAACACAAAGAAAGACGAAAGGTAAGTCAAGAACTTAGATCCCCTTTTTTTTTGCAAAAACAGCAGCAACATTGAAACTTGACTAAAACTCCTTTGAAATTTATTTTATTTATTCACTTTTTCTAGATGGAGGAAAAACTTGCTGCACTTAAATTAAATCAAGAGGAAGACGGATGTCAACCTCAACGTGACTGCGCATGTAAAAAGCTGCAAAATGCAACCGACAACGCTGATCAAATTGATAACAATGGAGATAACTCCCATTAGTGGAAATTAAATAAATTAAATTGGCAGGGAAGTGGATTATATGTGGCTGTGTTAAAATAAAAAACAAAAAACCATTCCCAGGGCTAGGTGTGTAGGGTGGTCCCCTTAAGTAGTGTGATCAGCCTTAGTTTACTGCTGCCTTATTTTAACTGGCTGGCCTCTTCGGTCATACCTATATAATATTGGCCAGTAACAGACAAAAATTAAAGTATGGATAATTTACTTCTCTAATGTTTCAGCCCCAGAGATCTTCTGTACGTCCAAATTTGAAGACTAAACCACTGTAAAAGAAAAACAAAGTAAAACCAATTTATAAAAAAAAGAAATAGAAAATAAGACCAATTTATATATGATTAAATAAATGATTAAATAATGTAAATAAATTTTCATTTTACAAATTAAGATGTAGTTCTTTTGTTTGTTTGTTGTTTTTTTTTTTTACATAAGGAAAGGAGTTGAGATGCACTTTACCAAACCAAAGTGCAAGAGAGTAATAATTAGAAAACTTACCCAAAAAAGATGAAAGCATTTTGAAGGAAGATAGCAATTCCTGGCCAGTCATTTATTTGATCTGTCAAGACAAAGAGAAACCTGAAATAAAACTTATAAGAATTTATATCAATATTTTATAAGATGAAAGGCAAAAGTTATGTATTATTCTAAATAAGTCTACCATTCGTCCCTGCTTTGAATATTGCTGTCACATCTGGTCTGGAATTGGTCCTGAGCTGGCCTCTTGGTTTTCTTGTGCTTTTTCTATATGAATTTAAGCACAGTACTAGATTGGTGATGAAGTACAGTTGAAATGGCAAGATGTAAGCATAAGTTCTATGCTAATTCTCTCTTTAATATTGTATCTGTCTCATTTTTCACACTCAGTAACCTCTTGCATCTTAGTGGCTTTATTGCCTTGATTGGGGTGAAGTGATAAAAAAAAAAACCTACTAAAATCATGGTCAAGCTAGGTACTTTACTTTTGCACTGATGCCCTTGGGAAAGACATGAATAAGTTAAATTGGCTTCTATCCAAGGTTAATCTGTTATTTAAGAGAAGGGTTGTGGAGAAAGCTCCACTATTCCCCCCCACAAGGAATCTATGTATATCCTAATAGATATTACTGAAAGGTTGGTGTGAATACTCACGTGGGACAACATAGAAGCCAAATAAAATCCAGGAAGCAGCAATCAGAGAGCCAAAAGCCAGTAAAAACCCAATGAAAAGCCAAACACGAGCACCTGAAAGAAAGAATGTAGTTTTACTTCCCATTTGAAGCAGTTGTTTAGAAATGTCGTTTCAGAAGAAGACCTGTATTTAAAGGGACATCTCCCTGAAGCATTTTCAGACATCACCTCTGCATTGCACTGATAGATGTTTGTGAGTTGAGGCTTCAAAATTCTGTATAAGTTTTGAGTACCACTATATAAAATAAAGTGGCTTTGTGGCCCTTTTCTGTAGGAGAACTAAATATCCATAGAATGTGCCCGTATTTGGTGAACAGAACTTCTGTCCTATTACAGGACAAATTTATGGCCACATTCAGTCAAAGAAATTCAGAAGATTCAATTATTAAACCCGGAAGCATCTTGATGCAGCATTTCTTGTCAACTTTTATGCCATTCAAAAGAGAAACTCATATTTCAAACTTTTCTTATAAGAACTTGTGTTCAGTGCCAACATTTTAAATATACTATCTGTAAAAAGACTATGAATAAAAAAGACAAAAGAAAATTTATCTTAGCTGATGCATTTCATCCTCTGAGGGACTTTATCAAGGCAAATGCAAAGATTTTATATACAAGAACTAACATATTGGCTTTACAAAATTAAATTTAGGAACACTCATAAGTATTAATCAGGTTAGCTGGAAAATCAGGCAAGCTATGGAGGACACATGTGTGAGTGATTCAAGATTAATCATGTAACTTCCCCCTTTTGATAAAACACACCTTATCTACTTTTTGTTCTCTGCACACAGCAATTGTTCTATTTTTTGGCTGATATGCCAAAGAAACATTTGCATTAAAAGTGCCAATTCATCGTATTAATTTATGTTGCTTTAGTCTGGGGAAAAAAAATGCACTGATACAATACAATTGCACTGTGCTAATCTTACAAAGTGGGAAGAATAGTTTTGCTCTCACTGTTAATCAAGTAATTTTTCTATATTTCTGCCTTGGTATCAGAGTACCAGAAATATATCACGAGGGATGCTAGAAAAAAAAAAAAAAGTCTTTGTCAAGTCAAGATCCTTTCACCCCCACCCACCTCTGTAAATGTGTTTTATTCTTCATAAATCTTCCTAAAACCTGATTTTCAGTAACCAGATTTCCAATTTGTGGATTAGCAAAGAATGTGGGTGACCATATTTACCTGTCTGTCCCAGGCATCCACTGGTGTAGGTATCTCCTCTTATCTGACCATTGGACACAGAATTAATCCTGCAAAATCAAACAGAATAAAACCTCAGCTCCAATCAGTTTCATGAGTTGTGCACCCCCCTTCAATTTCCTACCCTAACAGACAATTGAATTTTGAAATTTTTGACATGACTGAATAGCAAATGTTTCTAAAAATAATCTGTACAGGACATTCCAGCCAAATTCAACAGGATTCTAGAATTGATGACTCCTCCCCCACCACCAAGTTTTAATCACATATTTACTTCTATGAGAAAGGCATTCCCTGAAAATTTCAACTTCATAATAACTATCTGCTCTCCTTTTACACTTTGTAAGTTTCCAGTTTCTAACTTTGTTCCAGTTTCAGAGAATTGACAAAATGAGCAACAAAGCTTAAATTATTGCCAAAGATTAACTTAAATCAATGGAAGTAAGTGGTTTTATTACATTAGGCTAGTAAGTTTTGCAAGCTGAAAATCTAAAAAGAAAAAAAAATTGTGAAAATTGTCCCCAAGGAGGAAATTTGTGGTTTATCCAATGTTTAGGCCCCGCCTTTCAATCAGTACCAAAGCAATGTAGTGGTTTCACCTTTTCTAATGACGAAGTTAGGGATAGTTGTCAAAGAATTTCAATTCAGCTATTGCAAGATGGATCTTCCTGGTCTTCAGGAGGTCTAAAACTAAGAGAAAAAAAAAAAAAAAAATCTCTCTCCAGGGTGCACCCCTGGCTGCTGATATATAGAGGCTGTGCATTGCCAAACTACATGCCCCCCCCTTCTCAGTCATAAAAGACAATATCCAAAGGAATACAGGGCATTGGAATTGGCTCGACTGCAGGTTTTGACCTGCAGTCAAGCCAATCCCAATGCCCTGTATTCCTTTGGATATTGTCTTTGGGTCTCTACTTTAGGTTTTCTGTCAGGATTCATTTCTATAGTCTTTCCTGTGTTTGGTTGGATATGACTACAAGGCAGAGAGGTTTAAAAAAAAAAAAAAAAAAATTCAGGGTTTTCCTTCCCTTCGATGGATTGTCAAGCTTCACCTCAAAGCAGCTGGTTATGAGGCGCCAGTTGTCTACCTTTGTCTGTTCTCCAGCTTGGAGTTGGATGACTTAGATATCAGAGACACATTACCTCAACCAGGTATTGAACTCACAACTCTTTGGGTCCTGTCACTGGATCTAACTAACGCCTTTATCCACTGTGCCATGTGTCCTTAAGGACATCTGTGTATGAATTTCTGGGACTTAGTTAAGTTAATATTTTCAGCAACCATTTTTTACCAGAGCTCATATTGCAATTTTCATTATCGCTTATTACTGGTTCCCATATTGTATTCATTTCTATGCTTGATCGGCTCAGGAGATTTTTGTGGCCTAGCATTTCTTAAGTTTACGAATTTTCCAATGATCTTTGTCTATGATTTCAACCTGATCCCACAGAGGGCAGGGATCTCCCATTTCTCTCCATATGTGGTCAGCCATGCCTGAATTTTTCACTTCCCCTCATGTTACAGCTTTTTGGTGTTCTTAAAGCCTTACCTTAAAGGGGGCGGCCTGTCTCCCCTTTATATTTCTTTCTACAGCTGCATGGGATGGTGTACCCACTGTCTTTAGTCATGTTCTCCTCTATGGGAGGTCTTACTCAGGAGAGGTATCTGCAAAATGTCATCCAGCTTTTGAAGGTTGTCCTGATTTTACATGGACTGCATATCCTTTGTATTTTCTCCAATAACCCCTTCACATAAGGCAGGAAAACTGTTTCCTCAGTGTTGTTGTCCTCCTCTTGTACCCGCCTATCTCAGTTTAGTGTGGCTTCTGCCACGGTGTAGGGTACTGCTTATACTGACCAATTCTTTATCTAATGTCTCTGGGTTGCCACTTATGACCTTTGCTCGGTGTTGTAAGCAGCAGATGATCCCTTTCTTTATGCTGTATGGATGGTGGGAGTTGAAACAGATGTACTGTCTGGTGAATGTCGGTTTGTGGTATACGGATGTCTTGAACCCATGCTCTGTTCAAGATATTAGAACATCCAGGAATAGGATACATAAGGACACAGTGGATAAAGGCGTTGGTTAGATCCAGTGACAGGACCCAAAGAGTTGTGAGTTCAATACCTGGTTAAGGCAGTAGAGAACTTGAAGAGGAGAATTAAAAGGAGATAATTGATAAGTGACATCCATGGCACATGGAACTCTAACAGTCTACCCCAGATAAAGGGTTCAGTTTGACATTCCAACCACCCGAAGATACTACTGAGTAGTTAGTTTGATCCTCACTGGGTGCTCCTACTTTTGTCCTTGTGCTACATCTAACTTACACTTGGAAAAAAAATCACTATAATGTGAATGTACAATTGAAGGTATACCAAAAAGAGTCAAATTCAAATACTAAAATCAACTGGGGAAAAAAAAAAAAAAAAAAAGCTCAAAATGTACATGATACAAATAGATAATTTTTCAAACCAAATTGCCCTTTAAAAGTGATGCCATAACTTTCCCAAAAAGATTGGTGAATGGACGTTTCATTGATTGTAATGGGCCTAACAATACATGAAACATTTTCCATAGAAACATCTTTGTGGCATGTTGCAGGAGAGT